GCTGCAGCAAAGTGGTTTCCCTGGCAACTGTAACCCACAGAACTCCTTAAAACTTTTTCCCTTTATGGATTTTTTAGCAGTTTGATTTCAGAATTTCAGGATCTTGTCATCTTCTCCAAAATCATTGCAGCTGTGGAACAGAGGTTAACCATGGAGGCCTCTGAGTGTGCTAGGGCCCTGGGTGCCTTCAAGTATCTGGCTTCATTTGCAGTGATCTGAAGGTTTTCCCTCCCTGCAGATGTTTGGCTCAATTTCCAGGATGTTTAGCATATTCTTCTTGGGATTATTGTGGTAGTCTTCACATAACCACTACTGAAAGGTATCCAGTATGATTTAGACAAACAAAACACAAAACTAGTGAAAGATGAAACATGAAGCCAATGGGACTGCACAAGCACCCTCTTGCTTGGAAAGAGCTTTAAGCAGCTTGCTGGCTCGCACTCTGTCACAGTACAAGAGCTGGGACCAAGCTGTGGATTTCCTACTTGCCTCTTCTGCCATGCACGGAGGGGACAGGAGAGGAAAAAGAAAAGCATGTATTGCTAGTTTTTATTTTAAAAATAAAAATAAGCAAGCTTGATTGCCCGATAGAAATTACAGAACTTTCAGGTACAGCTTCTGAAGCAGATCAACAAACTGACAAATACCTGCACTAAAATCTGTCCCCTTCTGTGTTTCAGCAACCCCAGCGAAGCCTTCACTAGTAGCAATATTGCAGGTGTTATTGCAGGAGATTTATCTCAACTGCCGTGTGTTTGGGCAAACATTCTGCCAGTGTCAAGATGCAAGGATGAGATGCTAAGTGCTCTTTATGCTTGGTAATCCAGATAGAGTTACTGGTTGTGTATGTTGTACATCTGACAGCCATCATACTGATTTCTTTTTATTCTGATGGTTTGGTTCTTTTTGAAGAACCAAATACTAATACGCACGCTAATTATCTTCAAAAAGATAATTAGTAGTCTGAGTATTTATTGAGCATATGATCAGCCACTTTGTAGTAATAGTAAGAAATTAGTTTCAAGAATAAGTTAAGTTTGCAATGATTATTAGAAAAATCATTGAGAAGAACTGAAATCCTGCTAAAAGTGTTGAAGGGACCCTGAAAGGCAACTCATGGCTGATAAGCTCAATTTTGATACGACTACATGCTGGCACAGGTAGTTTTTCTAGTGCCAAGCTGTCCATTTTCAAAAGAAGCTTTGATACTTTCTAGAGGTACAAGGAAAATGCATTTTTCTGCTTTGTATGTAACCATATTAATTGCAGATACTAGTAATTCCATCTATTTCTTCTGTGGATTTATTCTTATCTTTTCCTAGTGAGAGCTAGAAAGATAAGATGCTTCAGGAAATGGGCCAGAGCTCCTGTTCCAAAGCAGTCAAATTACATAATAAGTTTATATATACATACATATATATATGTATGTGTATATATATATATATATATATATATACATATGCGTGTGTGTGTGTGTATATATATATATACACACAATATATTTTACCTTTTTCATTTTTTCCTCTCTTCCATAATCTTTTTTAATACTGCAATTCTTTTAAGGAGGGCAATTTGGAAACCACCTGAATTAATCAGTAAGTTGTCAAAAACTCATAAGTTGTTCCAGTCAAATATTAATAATGTTTTTCAAACTCTTATTTTCTTTGTGAGTGAAATAAACAACAACAACAAAAATCCAGAATGCCACGCTGTAAACAAATCCCACAGGCACGCTCATCATTAGGCAGTAAAGCACATAGGACAACAGATGCTGGATCTGAATTTTTCCAGGATAATAAATGTGTTCAGTGTCCCCAAGAAGAAGATTTTAAAGAGTATTTTCTGCAGAGAGCTACATAATTCGTCCTCAAAAGCTCTCTGTTTTACACAGTGTGTTAAAAGAAAAAACACAAAAGAATCCTGGAATAAATAGTCAGAATGTGCTGCTAAACTAGGGGGCAGTGTTTTAGAAATAACCAGTTTAGCATAATTAATTACAAAGGAATATGAATCACTGCTTCAGCATTTAACTCTTTATTCTATGCTTTTTAATTGGAGTGCTGTTGGGGAAAAACTGGAGGACATTTTCTCTAGAAAACCTTGAAAGCAGAGTCATGCACAGGGTTCTTATCAATGCAGTTAATTTTACAGCCAATAATGGGATATTTGCCTAAGTGTTTGAGGTATCTTTCTCTATAAAAGGAAAAGACTGAGTTACCTCTGGAGCCTGGAGTAGCTTTTACACTATTTTCTTTATCCATTTGCGCATGTTATCCTTTTAATTATTTCTCAGATCTAGGTTATCCTGTATTTTCTAATGAATCAGTGGATTATGATTTCCACCTGTATCCCTATGGGCACCAGTAAAGAAATCAAAACTGAATTTACCTGCCTTATCTTATCTTGCCAGTCTGGCAATGAGAGAGTTGGAGCAACTCTCCTATGAAGACAGGCTGAGGGAGCTGGGTTTGTTCAGCCTGGAGAAGACTGCAAGGAGACCTTATTGCAGCCTTTCAGTATTAAAAAGGGGATTATAAAAAGGAGCAGAATCAACTTTTTACAAGGATAGACAGTAATAGGACAAGGGGGAATGTTTTTAAGCCCAAGGAGAGATGGTTTAGATTGGATGTCAGGGGGAAGTTCTTCACAGAGAGAGTGCTCCAGAGATGCTGGAACAGGCTGCCCAGAGAGGCTGTGGATGTTCCATCCCTGAAGGTTTTCAAGGCCATGTTGGATGGGGCCCTGGGCAACCTGGTCAAGTGCCAGATCTGGAAGTTGGTGGCCTTGCCTGTGACAGGGGACTGGAACTCAATGATCTTTGGGGTCCCTTCCAGCCCAAGCCATTCTACGATTCTATGATACTCCCACATATCACAGCTTGCTGGATGCCAGATGCAGTTGTCCTCCTCCTTCTGACTTCAGAGCTGACATAAGTTGCTGATCTCCTTTCAAAATGTAGCTGGACTATCCTAAGAGCTATAAAGAAAGTATCACGTGGTTGTGACCTCTATTTAGTAAGAAAATATAATCTTGAGTTATAGTTTAATGTAGGGTTGAATTTCAGACAACAGTCCCGCTGTTGCCTAATGTTGTGCTGTGGCTGTGGAGTTGGCCATGGGTAAGCAGCTGGTGTGGGATCAGGATCAGCTCTGCATGCCCAGCTGCTTCAGGCTCACTCCCCACAAAATGGCACAAGGAAAATGGCTGAGAATGTTCTTCTCAAGGAGAACACAGCATCGCTACCATGCTGTTTTGCTTTTATCCTGTATCTGTGTATCATTTCTTGCGTTCTTGTGAGATTAGTTGATTAGGATGTCCTGTCAGCAATTTCTCCTTTAACTGTTTACCAACCCCTAGACAAGATTCATGAATATTAAAGTTCTTTGAACTCAAATAATTTAGGAAGAGTAAAAAAAATGCTAAGTTCCTTCTGGGTGCTGTCAGGTTCATTAAATGATATTGTCAAGACATGGATTTTCTGGAAAAATGGGCTGGAGTATAGGTCCTGAAACTCTATTTGTTTATGGCAAGTTGTAAAGGGATATTTGAAAATGACAGCATTTCTCCCTCTTAGAGAAGGTGTTCTTGTGAAGAAAGCTGAAAGATAAATGTACTGCAGTTTGGACCCACAAGCGTGTATTTACACCTTCTGCAGAAGCGTTCTGATGTTCTGTGCCAGATACTTGTTAGCTGTGTAGTCCAGGCTGTGTACCAAGTTTTCTTATTCAGTTTATATCTTGGAGAGCACATATTTCCCCTAATACGTGCTGATTGCTATTACTATTATGCTACTTATTTTCCTTCAGGTTTCTCATTTCTTAGCCTCTCTTTTGCTGTCCTTTATCAACCTCAATCAGGTCCCTGTTTAGCCGTGCAAGATTGCTGGTGATTGTTCTTTCTTAGACCAGGATGAGAGATTTTCCTTCACTGTGAAATCCCACATGGAGCTCTCTGCCATCTAGTATGGTGGTTGTTAAAAGAACCTTTCCAGTCACTGATTGACTGGGGAATGGATAGCTGTGGTTTTTTAGCACAGCTTTCTTGGCACAGAGATACCCACATTAAGTGCCTGTAGATGTTGCAGGATGGGAAGTGTCACTTACATGACTCACTCCTGTATACCTGTTATTGAAGCATTGTTTATAAAGATTCTCAGAACTGAGACAGTATGGCTATTTTAATATTTTAAAATGATTTTGCATCTTAACCCTGTATCTCCGTGATCTCTCTTCACGGTCTTCATGATTTATTTCAAAAACAAACAAAAATCTTTCAATGAAATGGGCTCCTGGGGAGAGGGGGAAAAGCTTTGAACACAGGTGAGAGCTCCAGCAGAACAGGGCTGCACTCACAGCTACCACATGTGAGGAAGGAGTAAAACAAGGAGGATCAGTCTCCTGTAAATGACGTGGCTTCAAACTGTAGGGATAATTTGACAGTGGTCATAAAAGCAGAAAAAGACTACCTTGCTCAATGAAGCACTGACCCAACACCTCGGTTTCCATGATGAAAAGTCTGGTTTAGCCTTGTTTATTACAGATTTTGGCAGGTATTCATCACGGTAATTTAGAAGCAGGCTTGGTGCCTTAAAAACGCTTTGCAATTTCAAGAAACAGCTTCTGCAGTGACAGACGTGAGAGATGCAGGGAGCACAGGTGTTGTGCTTAGGGCTGCTCTTAGGTGCAGGAGCAAGACTTCAGGCTTTGTGGCAAAAGGTACTTCCAACTGGAAATGTCTATCTTGACAACAAGTCATATTATAGTGCTCCACTCCTGCTGAACTTTTAAAAAATAAACCAACTTTGTATCCAATTGGTGCTGGGCTGTGTGCTTTGATAGCCAATTCTTACCAAAACTAAATGCCGGAGCAGAGGGCAGGGTGAGTGTGTCTTTCTCAGGACCAGAAAAGGGAGAAACCATCATGAGTAGGGATGACAACCTCAAATACTATCGACAAGGCAAAGACTTTTATTTATTTATTTATTTATTTACTTATTTTAAATCTTCTCTCAGAAGCAGACCGAGAGGTCGATGTTTCCTCCCAGTCCGCCTGAGCCATTCCCTGCTCGGAGGTGCGGTGCCAGCCTAGCGCCGGGGCCGCCTCTTGCGGGGCAGGGGTGAGTCCCACGGGCTGCTGCCGGCCTTCCTCTTTGGGGCAGCCCGGGGCCCCCTGCGGGATCGGTCCCTGCCCTGGGCGGAGGGGCCCGCTGCCGCCGCCTGCCCCGGCTCCTCCTGCGGCTCCCCGTCTGCGGGCGCGGCGGTGGCGGGGTTCCCGGGACCCCCGCCAGGGACGCCGGGGAGCTGCTCGGCGCTGGGGCCCGCGGAGCCGGTGGGGCGACCCGGGCCGGTGTCCCCGCGGCCCCGCTGCCGACGGATCTGTGGGCCATATAGGGCTGCGGCAACGATAACGAGTCTCCTCACGAAGCGCACCGTGAGGCCTCTGAGACTTGGCTGCAGCTCCCGCAGCAGGACGGCCTCGTCGAGCCCGTGCTTGCACAGGAAGTTCATAATGATGCTCGTTCTTGCGTGCATCTCCCACCACCTGTCGGCAGAGATCCCCCTGATCTCCTGATGGAGCCACTGGAACAGGGGGCTGAGATCTCCTGGATGTTGTTGGAAAAAGGCAGCCCAGATCTCGGGAGGAAAGCTGTGCTCAGGAGGCAGCAGCACCGGCTCTGCGGGCTCCTGCTGGCCCTGCGGGCCGTAACCTGAGCGCGCTGTGGGCTGCGGGGCTGGGCACTCGAGGTAATCATCATCCGACCTCACCGAGTATCGGATGGTTCTGATCCCGTGCCCACAGATGGCACATCTTCGCTGCTTCTTTGCCCACCAGAGCGCGCAGCCATAGCATAGCTGGTGGAGACAAGGTGTCACATTGGCCACGTCATCCTGAGCGTGGCCGCAGATGGGGCAGGTCCAGTCTAATTGCGCCTCCATGGTTTCTGGCTGTACAGTGGGCTGGGGAGAGCAAAGGACAGGAAGCTGCTCTCCTCACTGGCGCTGCAGTGGACAGAAGGTGTCACAAACTGCAAGAGAAAGAGAGAGAGAGAGAGATTATAGTTGCTCTCTGTTCCCAAGGCAGGAAGCTGTGATGCCCCAGTCCCTCAACAGCGAACCTCCCCACCCCCTTCTCCCCATCGGTCACCTTGGGGCAATGTATTCTCACCTCTGCTGCTGTGAGCGCACCCTGTGGGCCCCAGCTACCTGAGCCAGGCAGAAATGGGGAAATGCTGGTGATGCTGTAGGATGGCACCAAGAACTGCTACCAGCAGTCCCACAGCACAATGCAACTAAAGCCTCGTTCCGTGATCCAAGTCTCACAGACACGCTCAACTGGAGTCCAGGCACGAGTAGACACTGGTCTCAGCCAGCACTGGAATTTATAGATAAGGGTCACTGAGGCCAAAGTCATCTCTCGCTGATGTCACAACCCCTTGGTCAGTGACCTCACAGTCCATGGCTACATGTATTTGAGCACCAGCCTGGGCCTCCATCATCCTCCATCATGCAGTGATTTTCCTTTCTAATGGTGATATCTTTGGGAAAATAAAAATTGCATGTTCACTTTCTCCACAATAATCCGTCTTCTGTGAACTGTTTACATTTTCTGAATCTTTTAGAGAGACACTTTGTTGCTTGTTCTGTTTTGAATGCAATGCAAATTGGTGACCATTTCTACATCAGGCATGCTTTTTCTATCAAGTGCTCATATCACAGCAGGTTGTTTCCTATGCTTTCCTGTGCAACGTACTCAGTGGGACTTGCCTTAGGAATGGGTTGAACTAAATTATGTACAGAGGTCCCTTCCAATCCCTAAATTCTGTGATTCTGTGTGACTGTGAATTTGCTTGAGCCACCCTAGCCTCACTTGGTGTGTTGCTCACACAGGTGCTGAATCTGGGCTCTGGGAGATGGAAAAGAGGTACACTGCTGGAGAACAAATTAGATCAGAAACAAGCATTGTGGCTATCTGGCCTGTGTAAGGCTGAGTGTTACTTCTGCCTCTTCAGAATGATGATCTTGGCAGGTGAGTGCACTGCACTCAGTAGAAACATGAAATCTTAGTTTGTTCCATGAAGGTAGCACAGATTAAATCCTCTGTAGTGGATATGAGTAGAAGAAAACTTTTTTTTTTTTTTTTTTTTTTTAATAACTTCATTTTTATTTCACTTCTGAGACTATCAACAAATTATCACCTCTTTACCTGTTTTTGGTGAAGGGTCCTATAATGCTAGACCTTCATAATCCTTAAAGAAGCCTTTGTATCATAGGGAATACTTATCTGGGAGTAAATGAAATGCTTGGATTCAGATTAAACTGACTGTATCTTTAGGAAGATTATAATTTTGAGTGGAGTCAAATGCTCCATTCTATTTGTCCTTGTACCTGTAATACTTTTTTTGCAAACATGAATCTAGAAACCACAAAGCTCAACATTAAAGCTGAAACAAATGTACATGAAATGGGAAGTAGTATCTTCCTGTTCTGTGGATTTGCCTTGGAAGCCCTAACTCCTAGAAGAGAGGAATCTTCAAATACTTCTTGAATAGTTGATTTAACTAATGGAAAATTTGTACGTAACAGTTTGAGCGTGGGTAAAGTAGAGAGAATTCATAGCTTTAGCCTATTCTTCAAATGCAGCTCGTAGTCACTTAAGGAAAGGGTGATTAAGGATCACCTCTTCGTTTCATGCAGGCGCATCTTAACATCAAGCCATCTAGAGCTGTGCTTTTGAAAGTATGATGAAGATAAACTCACAACAACTACCAAGTATTTTATCTTCTTTTTCACAGCAGTAAAGCTTCGTACAGTGTATTTAATTCAAAGCCTTCTGTATTCATTCCACTTCTACCGCTACGCATACAAGAAGAGCCAAGGCTAAGGTGTCAGAAAATGTCTCCATGCCTCCAGGAAATTTGTGTATTGTCCTTGCAGAGAAATTTTATTATGCTTTACCACATGACTCTGTGCCACAGTGTAGAACTGCTTGGTTTTGCTTGGTTTTGTTGCTGGTTTTTTTTTGGGACCATCATTTTGTGGAATCATTGCTCGATAATATCTATTTCTCTAATCATTGTGCTTGGATATTAAGTCAGTGTTAGAGATACGGTAACTCTATCAGAGATAAGCTGTTGCATTTAAATGGTAGTGAAAACAAGCTTTTCAAAAAAAAATTGTTAAATGATCCTTAACTAAACAAGTTTCATTCAATTGGGTGAAACTGAATGTTTGTATCAGTTGGCAGAATACCAACAAGCTAGAAGTCTTCTCTAATGCAGTAACTTCTGACAGAGGAGTGCTGCTGGGAAGGGAAGTGCTCTGGTCTCTGTGTACTGTGCCAAAGGAAAGTTTTAACTTCAGAGGAGTCCAATAGCATTTGTAGAAATGCTCTTGTATGAGAGGAGAGATGTGTTCCTGTTTATTGGTAAATGGTGAATTATTCAAGGCAAACAACCTTACAGAAGGAAATATAAGGTTTTATTTAAAATAAAATTTGGATAAGCTGAATATTTTAATGAGTGGAGAAATGTCCCAGCGTGAAGTTAGAAAGTGGGGACACTTCAATTTGGACTCTGAACACAGCACAGGCCTATGCTGTTTCTCAAAGCTGGTCCCACAGGCAGATCTGTGAGACCATAGCAGAGGCACAAAGCCACATGGACAAGTTATGTCCCCGTGGAAGTGAAACTTTTTCTACCTAGAGCAGCTTTCTCCATTCTAAAGGTATGAACTATAATACATAATGCCAAGTTGTGGCAAATCATAGCTTAGCACATTCTTGTGACAATTGGGACACAATTTCTGACAATAGACAACAACTGTCTTCGATTTTCTTGTTTGTTAAAGAAAATTTCTCAATTCTGGTATAATTGACATAAAATTGACACAGGATTTCTCTTTCTCTGCTATTCTACAGAGCTGCTACATCATAATCATCTAAAGCATTAAGTTATTTGCTAAATCATTGCATTGCTTGTGCAGAGAAATTTTTCTGTAGGAAATTTAAAATATGATTTGAAAGGAGGGTGAAAAGGCAGAGAGGTCGTGCAGTGTGAGCTTAAGGAAAAATGAATAGTAAGGAAAAGAATGATTTTCTATCTTGATATTCATTTTATTTGTTGCCAGCTTCTCTGTCAGTTTGTCACCACAGCTGATGTTTTCTTCTCTTCCATTTACTCTCATATTTAAATTGCTCAATATTTGTATTGTGTTTGCTGGCATCATCTTATCATTTGTACGCTTACACAAGTGTAAGTTCCATTTCTTGGTATTGATCCTTATCCTACACTGAGAAGCCAATAAAAGTTGTCCTGCCTGCTAGGGCTGACCTTTAGTGCAATTTACATATCATCTCTGAAAATGGATGGCAGCACAGGGGAAGAGAAAGCAGAAGGTGTTTTTGCCATTTGCTTGTCTCCCTAAAATGTGAATATCCCACTGTGAAAGAGGCAGCAAGCAGAGCAGAAATGGCACAGGCTTCCGTACAGTAAATCCAAGCCTTCCATTGGCATTAGACTTTGTCTTCAGCCTGTGGATGGGATTTGTTCTGATCCTAAGTTTCCCATGAGAAAAAAAGTCAACATGTCTGACTACTGTCAATCCTACTCTCTCTCTTTTTTGTTCTTCACCTTCAGTTTTCTAATTTAGACGATTCATTGCTACATATTTGTTTGTTTGTTTGTTTGTTTCCTGTAGTGCAGAGAAAGTTGTGCACAGACTGTGATATTTAGTTTTCTTTTTTTTTTTTTTTTTTTTTTTTTGATCTTCATCTTGCATGAAAACCTTTCATTGCTTGTAAAGTCACACAAGACCTAGTCCTGCTCCCTTAAGTCAATATTTTTGACATTGCCATTGCAAAATGAGAATTTCACCTGAGTTCCCATTAGGAATGTGATTTATGTAGTGATGTGAGTTTAAATTATTTTAATTTATGATTGTTGAGGAAATAATAAATGTTCTGCATGGTACATTTTTCCGTAAAGATTCCTTTGACTCCAGTGTCCCCTGCAGTTTATTTACTAACAACATCCAAAATACCTCAGAAAATGAAGATAAATAAGATGGTTCCTCTCCATTTTTAGTTTCTTCTAGCAAATTCTCACTTATCCGAGTAAACGAGAACAGCTCAGCAGCCACACAAGATTTGTTTATGTTGTTATGGGCTGCCTATGTAATCGTTTCCAGCGCCAATGGAAACCTGAAGAAAAAATGTGCCAAGCTGCAGCTGGAGCGCTACAAACAAACCATGACATTTGGTGAGAGTTTAAATTAACATATGTTACAGCAGGCAACAAGGAAACAGCTGGGAAATATGACAGCTGTTATCCATAAATAATGTTACATTATCAGCACCTATATTTATATGGGTTTTTATTGGGTAAAAATGCAAATAAGTATTTCATTACTTAACGTGACTGCACTGTAGGAAGAGATCTTGGCTATCTCCAGTGTGCACTTGGCTATTTTCAGCGTGCTTCATGTGCTGTCTCAGTGACTCAAAGCTTATGAACAATGACTGAAGGTCCACTTTTAGAAGCTCTTCTGGAGCTTCAAAAGAGATTCTCTGTTACTAACACAGAAGTTGAAATGATATTGTTCTCCAGAACTTAAATTGTCAGACTAGAGATTGTTTGGTGCTGGTGTTTTTCTGTTAAGACATCTAAAATTGGGAAGGACTGAAAAATCAGCAACTTTAAAGAACAAAGGCATCACTGGTTAGTCTTTTGTCAGCTACTGGTGGTAATTCTTAACTTGTGTGGTCCTTTCTTTCTCCCTGATACAGCAAGATACAAGCTTGGCAATTTTCCTTACAATATCTGTTACACAGATGATGGAAAATATACTTGAGATAATTCCATAGGCAGCTGTGTAAATAATAATTGATTCTTTGCAAAAGTGATGGCACCTGTAGAATCAGTGCCGGCAAAAATTTGCACTGTGTCAGTTGTCCATTGGTTATTATTCACTAGTGTGTGGAAATAAGCACTGCCTTTATAAATACTTCCCCTAGAATTTTAGCATCTAAAGAAGGAGTTCACAGTCTTTCTTCAGCAAATAATACTAATTCCTTTGTAAAGCTAGATAGTTATTTATTGTAAATACAAAGGCTTGTATTGGCAACAGCTTATGCTAAGGAAAATACTCAGTGGGAGCTTAAAAACAAATAAATGAAAAAGGGTCTTTTTATCATCATCACACTTGGCATATTGCTTTTAAATAGCTCTATAGTACAGATAGATACATTAAGAGACCTATTTAATTTAGGCACTTGGCCAAGAATGGGCAGTGATTTTGTTTACAGTTTATTAATACCGAATGAAGTGGGATTATATTCAGTTTTTGCATCCGGAGAAAGCGTGGCTCATAGAAAGGTCAGACTGTTAAAAGGCTACCCAGGTTCCACAAACACAGAAGCTGAGATCCAGAGAACCACAATAAAAGAATTGGTAGAGTATCTAATAGGAATCTGACCTATTGTTTATGTGCTCTCAAAATGCTGTATTGTACCCCTTCCCATGTGAATTATTATGTATGTTGACTCACTTTAAACTGAACAAAGGCAATGTGAAAATAGGTAGAGGTTGGAAAAAATAATTTTAACTTTAAACCAAAAATTGGCATACCTGACCTAGAATTACTTTCAGTCAATTTGCAATGCCTCATGTGAAGAAAAGTGAGGATCCATTTAAAATAACCAATTCGTAGCAGCAATGACACAGATTTGCAAAGCTGTACTAAATTACTACAGTTACTGGGGGGGAACAAATTGGGTCATTTGTTGTTCAAGAGAGACTTTTCTACCTGTAATATTTCTTTCCCCTGCTCTTAGTGCAGCGAAAACCAGTTACTAGCCATCCTCCCAGTCTTAACACGTTGTCTGGAAAAGCTGGCAGTATAAGTGGGCACATGTGGGAAAGAAGGCACTCAATAATCCATCCTTTCTGTTTGAGGTTTTTTCCTTAATTAATCTGTTGGTGTTCTGATAGCAAGAAGTGATAAACACTAATTAACATCTTAATTTGATGGTGACAGAAAAGGCTGCCTGCCCTGTTTTGTCACAGAGGACCTAATATATATATGTATAAATTACCTGATGACTTTCTGTGG